GTGTTGTTGTTTTACAAAGTATAAACTTTTCTTAAACAAAATATACTATGGTTAAAACTTGTTTTGCTGCCGATATACCACTGCAACACACTCTCACTCCCTAAACGTCCTGGAGCGACGCTTGGTCAGGGTCCCGAGGCGTGCAGTTGGGACGCGCCGAGGCTCCTTCAGCTTCATAAACGGACGCAAAGAGCTTTCAACTGATTGCAATGTATTCCCATCGGCGGCGGTATTTGACGCTCATGGAAGCACCGCATCGGTCCATGTCGGCGGCATTTAAAGGCAATGTGAGCGTCCATTCCCATTGGATAACGGAGGATTTTACACCCGGAAGTAACTATTCTCCTTACTGTCGATTGATTTTACAGTGATATCTGCACTACTCATTGTAGAATGATCGAGGGTCGAGTATGTTTCACGACTCAGGTTTATTATACAGTAAGTCAAGACATTACAGTAGGCAGTAACATGACAACTGGCGGACTTACTCTGAAGTAAAGCAGTCCTTCGCATGCCGTAAAGCATGTCGCAACACTGCCGTAACAGCCTTAACTCAGTATGCATTGTATGCATATGTGACATCTCCCCTTTTTTCCTAGTTATTTAATTTTAAATAATTGTAAAGAGTTTTGACCGATTAGTCACAGCATCATCCTGTAATAGTAAACAACAGTCAAACTGTGATAACAAATGTTCATTCAGTCTTACTGACCAACCAAAAGTGTCCTATGAATACAGGTTAACTTCACAGATTATGTTAATAAAGATGGGTAACCAATACCTTCAGTAGTGCTGTAACAAAATAAAATTCAAGATGCAAATTTTCTTTTCTAAACATTGCAGCAGTAATATCACATTTGTACATAACATTCACAATAAACAGAACTCAAAATTCAGCAGACTCAGAGTCCACCTGTGTTTCCCTATTCATTTTCTCCCCCCCAAAGGCCATAGGTATTTTTTTTTCTATTCACCCCCAGAGGTCATTGTGAAACACCCAAAACACTCCTGTCTACAAGTCCAACCTAGTGGCCGGCTTACTGACACGACCAGACCTGGCCTGGTGTTGTTGTATGGGTTGTCACCTCACTTGGTTTCAGGGTAACAGTCTCTGGTGTGTTGGCGCTTACAGGCTGGGAAATCGCCACAGCACTCTCTGCTGGTGTTAGTGGGATGTGCTGTGCAGGTCGGGAAGTTGGTTCTGCCCAGAGATGAAGTCGGTTCCGCCGCAGCACTGCACCTCCTTGTGTGTTAATGAGGTAAGACCTCGGAGTAACACACTCTTTTGAGACGATTGCTGGTGTCTTCCAGGACTTCTCGTTGTCGAGCTTGGTGTAGACTGTGTCTCCTGGCTGTAGAGCTGGTAGATGCCTGGCACCATGTCGTCGGTTGTAATAAAAGGCTTGTTTTGCTTTCTCACTCGTGTCCTTTTGTTTGACAATCTGTCTGTTAGGCCATTTAGGCCGTAGATTTTTCTCGAGTGTCGGGAGCGTTGTTCTGATCTTTATCCCCATTAGCAGTTATGCTGGACTGACTCCTGTGGTAGTACAGGGAGTGGATCTATAGCACATAAGGGCTATCAGCGGATCTTCCTGACGAAGGATTCTCTTAGCGGTCTGTACTGCTCTTTCGGCATGACCGTTTCCTTGAGGATGGTGAGGACTATACGTGATGTGTCTGAAGTCAAGGGCACTTGTCGTAGATGGTAGTTGTAGTATTTCAAGATACCGTGAATAGTAGTCTGAAATCACAAGGTAGTTGTGCTTGTTATGTTCGCAGAGGTCGAGAGCGATTCTTTTCCACGGACGATCAGGCAGTGGTGTGGAAATAAGCGGCTCCTTTTGTTGAGCCCGCTTCTGCTCCTGGCAGCTCTTGCATATGTTGACAATGTTCTTAATGTCTACAGAGAGCCCCGGCCACCAAACTGATGCATTCGCCCTTTCTCTGCATTTTGAGAGCCCCTGGTGTCCCTCATGTATTTTCTGCAAAATGTCTGCTCTCAGTGACCCCGGAACCACGATCCTGTTTCCTCGTATGACTAAGCCATCAGCTTCCGATAGCTCATTTTTCACTTTGGTGTAGTCCCTGATGTTCAGTGGAACATTACTACTGTATTCAGGCCATCCTGCCCTAATCAGCTTGATGACAGCCTGAAGCTCACTGTCGGCTGCTGTCTCCTTTCTGATATTCTCCATTCTCGTTGGAGATGCTGGGATGCCCTGTATCACTGTGGCTACAGAGCATGCCACATCTTCTTGAGTGTCAGTCTCTTCCTTTGTGTGTGTCAGTGGGCTTCGGGACAGTGTATCGGCGACAACAAGGGTCTTCCCAGGCACATGCTCTGCTAAAGGTTTGTACCTCATGAGCCTCATTAGTAGACGCTGACATCTCAAGGGGACGTTGTCTAGGCTTTGTTTGTTGATCAGTGTCACTAATGGCTTGTGGTCGGTCTCCAGCCTGAACTGATCCAAGCCACATAGATACTTGTCGAACTTCTCACAGGCCCATACGCTAGCCAAGCACTCCTTTTCTATCTGGGCGTAGCGTGTCTCCGCTTCTGTGAGACGCCTCGAACAGTAGGCTACTGGCTTCCACTCCTCTTCATGGAGCTGGAGGAGGACCCCCCCAGGCCATAGCTACTGTCATCAGCAGACACCGCTGTGGCCGCTTGCTTTACTCTTTGAAAGTCATCACATGAATGCATTGTAATAAATGTTTCGGCTGCATTAAATATTACACATCTGTCGTAGTTCTTTATTTATCTACAGAGATCGGGCTTCAGAATAGACAGGAAACTATTCTTTTACCGTTCTGTTTTAATTTCACAATAAAGTTAGTAGTAATATTTTGTTTTGATATTATTGTTTGTTATTAACTACTTGACCGCTGGGTCATGTTAAGACCATCTTTTCTGTGTTGCTGTGGGTTTTTTACATCGCTTTTGTGTTACAAATATCAAAACAATAACTAAATATATCCGTCGTAAACTAAACCAGAAACAGCAGTATATTTTATTTTGTTAACACTGTAAACTTGACAGCTTTTTAACCCAAACCTCCTACTGGTTAAAGCACGTTATTGCACGTTTAGAGTTATTGCAATGCAGGTAGATTGTGTTGCTTTTTAATGACTGTTTTAAAATGCCTTTTTCTTAATGTCTTTCATTTTTGTAAAGCACTTTTGAATGTGTTATATTTGATGAAAACATTTAAATATTAAGAGTATATACAAAATAGGAGGAAAGTAGAAGGTCAATGATAGAAATATAGAATAGAAAATATCAAGAAGATACTGTGAATGGTATCTAGAATAAAACAGTTTAGTGCCGGATGTACAAAGATATTAATAGGAGGATGTGCAAAACAGACAAACTAATTAGGCTTTATTTAAACATGAAATAATACTTTAGGTTAAGGTCTTCTTTTAAATACATGTAAGCAAAAAGCTTTGGGGGTATCTATATTAAGCCTGACAAAGTACTAAACGTTTAATATATTGCATGGTTTGTTTTGGGACTTGACAATCAACTTTCCTGCAAAGTTAACTATGTTGAAGCACTTATTTTAACCAATATTATACATATTTATTATACTCTTGTTATACATTGTTCGAAGCTCTATTGACTGACATGCAATGACTGGGACTGATTGAAGAATCTGCGAGGAATTAACTAGGAGCAGAGAAATAATCATATTTTAAAAGACAGCAGCTTCATAAGAGGCCAACAAGAGTGTGCTGAAGGACAGACCCTCTGTACTACGAAGCCGGATTTTCCTAAATTTTCCCTGGATATGTTTGAGTTAGCCGGTTGCCAACCGGCTAACCCAAACCGGCGGTTGGCCGGCGGTTGGCCCAATCCAAAACATACGCGCTCTCGCTAAACTGTACTACGACGCTGGTTATCAAGTGGATCGCTCAAGCCAGCCGTGTCCTATCTAGTTAGGTGCGCGTTCACATGAAAGGGGTGGTATTTGGAGCATTCGACCAATCTCAAACACGGACAAGCGTACTGACAGCGCAGCGTCATACTTCCTGAATGAAAACTGAACTTTAATATTAGTCAAATATGAAGAAGTTAAACTTTAAACATCCATGACTTAAACACTTTATCCAGGATAAAAGCCACATAGCTGCACCTGCAAGGTGAATACAGCTGGTAAAAGAAAAAGTGTTTGAATGCGTACATTAACAGGTTTATCACTGCCCCGTCCAAGACACGAGTGGATCTGACTTTAATTACATTTGACTCGAGTGTTTCGTCAACTTAATGTGTTTCTTAAAATAATACTTCTGCATACAGTATGTGACACTGTGAGTGTTGCACGGCCAGATACGGCTCAAGAAGCTGACTCAGATAAGGAAATATATGATACATTATGATGTGATATGATATGAATGATAATGGGACACATCGACGTCTGCACTCACAGTGCCGCGGACTGTACTTAATGTTACTCTGATCCGGTTACTTATGTCGTGGCAGATATTTAAGTAAGCTTTCTTAACGCTAATGTTATAATAGTCAGATTGCTTTGAAGATGGGAGGGGATATTCTATTAATTTTCACGTTCACACAGTCAGTTGATTTTTGCCGGCCGTCTTTCCTGCAACGGCAGTTTTTCTGTATTTCCTCTATCCTGTAATATGACTTGATAGCTTTAAACTCCGCACACGGAGCTCTGATTGGTCAGCAGGCGGTGCTTTCACTGAGTTGATCTCTTAGCCTGCAACCTAACCTCCTCCCGAGGAGGTTAGCCGCTCAG